TAAACCTAGACCTAACAATCACCTTGATCCTAAACCAAATTTCCCCGGTATTTGGTGCAAAACCACATATTTTGTGGGCAGTTCCTGTGTCCGTTTTCTGTTTAGGTGATCATACATGTCATCCTTACCGCACGTTGTTTAGCAAAATTGACCAATCCTTTGCAAATAGACTGCCCTTAGAAATATATCACCATTCAAATTTTTTCAGGCCGCTCTGGGGAACTACAGCCTCTTTTCAACCACCTACAAAAGTTTCGTGGAGATGCTGCAGACAGCTATGGATGATTTGACTGACTCCACAGATCTCCTTATAACCTACGACGAGCTCCTTCGTGAGGACTTAGCCAGCTGCGAACGTCAGGCTGCGGTAAGCCATCTGATTGCGTACAGTATCTAGACTACCTCGCGAAATGTGCCGCAATTCACGAAACATGGCTCATCACTCAGAAGCCAAGGCAAATTAATCAACCCAAACTCTACATTATGCCTACGAAGTCATGCTACATTCCGAATTTTGCGAAATATTGATAATCACTGGCAAACCGGCATTTACTCATGTACAAAAGCTTGGAATTAATAAAGAATAACCTTAGGCAAATTTTTTACTTAAAAGAAGTATGCAAAGTACTTATTGTTTCTTAAGAAAATCGAAATTTTCTTACTAATCCTCATTTTCCGTAGACGTAAAAAACGATCAATTAGAACAATAAATTTAAATCTTTCCTCAAGTTTAACGAATTGCCATACCACTTTCTTTATATAAAAAGAAATCTTCCTTAGTCAAATATGTTAAACATATTGTTGTTATTTAGTTACAATTACTTACAGCTGGACATTTAAATGCCGATAAATATTCCAGCGTTTTCAGCGTCTTCAAGCTTTTGTACATAAATTCAGATTCCATTCGAAGTTTGTATCAAAACCTTTAAAATCAGATATCAATTTAATGGATTTACCGAAGAAATGCGTTTTCAGATATTAGTTCCTATGAATTTGGCCATGTGGGCCATATTATAAATTCCTCGAAACAGTAAAACGCATTACCAAGCAAAAGAACTCCCGCACCAAAAGTGTGATACTGTAATTCTGTAATTCCGTAACGTAGTTTAATTAGATATTGAGCTGACGAATTTCTGTGCACATTACCTTATTCCAAGGTACTGTCAAAAAATGGAGATTTTTTATATGTTTTTCAATTAACCTGAACAGAAATGATTCAAGTTGACTGAAAATGAAAGAATTCACTTGTCTTCGTATAGTGGATTACATTCAGGCTCTGTGGCCATGTATAGCAACATTTTGACACTATTATTATTTTCTGTCTGTTCCGTTTCTAAATAATGCATAAGGGGAAAACATAGCGTACAAAATATATATTTCTGCATAAAATATATATAATAAGATCTGTTCTACATTACCTGCTCGATAACATATATGGATAGTTTTGATTATGCTCCATCTACGCGATGTGCAAAACTAAAAACAATCAGAACGTTTTGTTACTAGATTTTTGGGAAAAAACCTTCATGGGTTTGTAAAGTATAACTTTTAAAACTTAAATTGTCCCTTGTTTCTGAAAATAAATGCGATTCCTTAAGCTCGGCCCCACTTGCATTTGAACGATTTTGGACAACATTTTCCGGTTCTGGAAGGAATATAATTACCACTTTTTTTATTGGTTTTGGAGTTAATGTATAGCATAGTGCATATTAATAAACGGTTCGCCAAAAATAATGCTCATTTCTCTTAATAAACCTAACCAATAGGCGATTTTCCTAACTAAAAGGCTCCCCTAGGATTAGGTCTACTCAGTCGATCAAAATAACTTGACCAAATATACGCTAAGCTATCAAGTCAAATTTCTTCTTGATCTTTGCAGGATTTTGTAGACATACTATAATTATAAAAAGGCTTTAATCCAAAGGAAAACAGAAAATAAATAGATAGTATTAGGGCTAAAGACTAGAGAGACTGAAATGTCGATTTCGGGCTCATTAGCCAGTCCTATCCAACCTCAAGCGGTGCCCCACCCGAGGTTCGAACCTGCGACCTTTTGATCAGAAATCTAACGCTCCAGCCATTAAGCCACGAACCAGTTGTTTCGCCAGCATAGCTCGGGCGATATTGACACTCATGGTTGAGACACCACTTGGGGTCGGGTATTAATGACCGAGGATGGCTAATAAGCCAAAAATGCCCATTCCAGTCTCGCTTGTCCTGGCCAGCAGTGCTATCTGTCTACTTTTTTAGCCGCCTTGCGGCTGCTGGCAAGGGTCGATTATGGGTCCCAAGGCAGAGTGGTACGAATTGCTTCCGTTCGCGATCGGCGAACCTTTATCAACGAGAGAATAAATACTTAAAGTGATGTTACATCGTTCAGAAATAACCGTTTTGAGGAAAGTGATGACGTGAACTTCAAGTCATCGTGACTAAGTAAAATATTTATTTAGGATAAAGTTTTGATGTAAATAACCGAGTTAATACGACAGTCTAAGCAGAAATCCTTACCAAAGAGTTTCTATGCAGCGTGCACTTAAATATCATTCATACATTGAAGGGGAACTAAAATTTTTTATTCAGCTCAAAGCCAAAAAACGGTTTCAGTGGAATTCGCTATAATCTTTATGTTGCTTCCTTGGTTGACTGGTCAGGTCAGGTCAGGTTTTATTGAGGGAAATATAGGTAAATACCTTT